AGAGAGAGAGAGAGAGAGAGAGAGAGAGAGAGAGAGAGAGAGAGAGAGAGAGAGAGAGAATAAGAAAGAATATATATGATAGATAAATTTAAACAGTTTCCAACAGATAAGTAATTTTTAAAATTTTCAAATCATTATATAATAACTCGATAATGTATCTTCTGCATTCGTTTAAAATATGTTTGACCGCGAACAATAGAGAAAAACCGGAAGAATTTATTTGGAGAACAGAAGAAACTTACCCTTGGGCTTGCTGGTAGCTAAAAAAACTGCAAATAAATGCACACCTTTACACAAACTCGTGTATATACGATCACACCTACATAAGGAATTCGTATAACCCAGCCAGTTGCTGCGGTGCGCAAGAGTAATAAAAAAAGAAACGCGAGAGGAAAGGACCGTTGGCAAAGAGAGGCGGCAACGGAAGCAACGTCGAAGAGATGTTATATATGTGAAACAGAATGAGAAAGAGAAACGGTACACGCGTACGCCTGTGTTAGTAAAATTATGGTGGGGATGGTTACATAGAGTCGCTACTAGGCGTGGCATGTGGAACCACCCAACCGACCAATCAGAACAGGAGGCGTTATCTAGACGTATAACAATGCTTCGTGTAATACATAGTTCAGTGATTCTCAACCGGTATCAAATCAACTTTTTGACCGTAAAGAAATCGTGCAATCGTGAAAATTTGTTCAAATATAAAGGTTCGAGCACACGTCTCGTACGAAATAAAAGCTCGAAAACTAATTGTTTCTAAATTACACCGTCATGGAAAATAATTAATGTGTGCGAGCAGTATATTATCCTCATGAAAGCCTTTATCACACCACGGTGGGATGAAACGGGGCTTAAGTACCGCCTACGTTAGAAATCATTGACACAGGCGCAACTCGTGAGGTTATGCGGCTGCGTTGGTACGACGAAAGCTTTTCCAGAATCCGGAACGATAGAAGGAGGCAGAGAAACAAAGAGAAAGCGATGAAGAGAGAGATGATGAGACAGTGGTGAAAAGAGGGACAGAAAGGGAGGTGCGAACAGAGAGAGAAAGATGGAAGAAAGGGTAGCAAGTTGGAGGAACGTTGGTCTACGCTCGGTGGGGAGTCCAGCGTGCACCGTGCATCCAGTTGTATACCTAAATGCGTACGGCACTGTTTTAATAGTACACACGCGTAGTCACGGCCCAATGAATTGATCCCGCGAGGTGCATCCCCCGGATAAAAAAGATGTCGCGCCATCTTTGAGGGCACTCCCGCTTCCAGAGGGCTAGCGCGCGCATTTTCGATCGTGGACCGTCACCCAGCGCATAGGTTTTTCTCTAAGCAAACGCGCGTGTTTAAAACAAGTTCTGATTAAGAATGAAAGAATCATTAAATTATCGCCATAAATCGTTTAAAATTGCCGCTAAATTATGGGACCGATAATGTTAAGACCAATGAAAAAATAAAATTTGAGTATCGTAAAATTATTACTTAAATAATAATATTGAGATATGTAATATTCCAAACATTAAATGTTTATAATTCGCAATATTTTAATACATACATATATATATATATACATAGTGTTAACATAATAAAAATAACTGTCAGCTCTGCGTTTAAAATGGTTTAAAAATTAACATTGTAAAAGTGTCATTTCAATCGCGTTCTTGATGTATAATCGAAAACGAAGGTTTCCGTTTACATTCATTGAAGTTCCGTCGGGCGGATAAAGATGTGTGTGAAAGGAAGTGAACAGTAATTTTTTTATCAAGACTTACTTAGAACAGATCGTAATTAACACGAAGTACTTTCAGTGTAAGAAATTGTGACGTATATATTTCCCTTTTTTTTTTTCATATATATACATATATATATAATTTAACACTTTTAAGAAACATTTTTATAAAATATTTTATAAAAATTTAAACTTCGAATCGTTAATAACATGGAACAGTTAACAATAATAGTGTAGAGTAACATTTATTAATTAATTATAGAAGAGAGAGAGAGACAGAGAAAAAAGAGTCAGTAGAATTAGTTAATATATAAAGAAATAACAATAATATTCGATGGAATTCCGTGAACGATTGAAGTGCGTCAAGTACCGACGGCTTGATCAAAGTGTTCGCTCTTTGAGACACCCCCGCTGCCAAAATTACTTTCGCACCAAGGGTGACTAATTGACTCTTCCCGGTGAAATACCGGTGAGATTATGGGTTTATTTAAAGGTAAGTAAAAACCAGTTAGATTTACATACTTTTGCATTTAAATAAATATCTGCAAGTTGCAAAGGTAAGTACAAAATACTTGGCTATAATAAAAAAAAAAATAAAAAAAAAAAAAAATAAGATAGAAAAGAAACAATCAATAATTATATGATCAATTTAGATAGGTATATTAAAACAGATTTTAAAATTTCAATTCAATTTAATTTCAAGAATTTCAATTTAAAATTCAAACTTAAATATGAATACTTGCAATATATTATTCCGTTACGCAACAATTTCAAATTTCTTTTCCTTTACGATTTTAACCAAACGATTATTATTTCGATGTTTTGACACGTATCTTCGAAACGAGTAACGTGCGAAAAGGGGGTGACAAAATTCAAAAAAAAAAAAAAAANAAAAAAAAGAATTTAACAAACTCGCAACACAAAAAAGATTTAACAAAACACTCACCTATTAAACACGTCGATCGATACGAATTTACATTTTCATTGTAACGATATTTCGATCGAAATGTATCGATTCGCATTCATGCACAGGTGTAATTTGATTCGATAAATTTGGATGGTGGCAAATTGTTCGTCCATATCCGTCGAACGTATCCCAATATTGCATTACGATACCCGCATATTGTCCCATGGGAGACTCAACAATCACTTTTTCACCCCTCTTTCCCTTGATAACTTTCTTGAGAAACGACCTTTGATCCCCCCCCCAAAAAAAAGAAGAAAAAATTCCCACTCTATGCTATAAATATACCATAAAGTACTATAAATTGCTCAAACAATAATTCGGTTCACGTGCCTTCAGCATTCGACCCTTTAACCCTTAAAAAACAATTTTACCGGTGTTTCTATCGACGAATCGAGAATGCGATACGCATGCGATAAATTAACACGTTAACAGGCGCGCGTGTCAGTTTTCACGGTTGTTCGACGTTGGTTCTAATCACTTAAGTATCCCGCCGCGTCGTCGTTTCGAAAACATTTCCACACGACGAAAGCGAAAGGGGTCGAAAATCGAATTCCTCGAGATGGATGAACTCTATTTCAAGATAATCAGAATACGTGGTTATAGGTGTAACGAGACGCGGCCACGAGTTCTCGCCGTTTTTAAGCGCTGTTAAAGTAAATAGTACGCGTGTTACGTGCCCCGTGACAAGGGGCGTGCCGTTTCCTAAAGTCATTTGTCGAGAAAATGTCCGGCTTTCGAACGTGATTCTTTTCCGTGTTCTGCTCGGTACCCTTCCATAGCTTACGGAACAGAGAAAACTTATGTCTCCGTGCAGCTGTCGCGACAGCGTTAAATCTCGCTGGAACCCGTCGCTGCTTCTTTTCTCTCTCTCTCTCTCTCTCTCTCTCCTCTCCTCCTTCCTCCACAA